GTGTGTGTATATGTGTGCATGTGTGTCTGAGTGTGTGTCGTGTGTGTGAGAGTGTCTGTGAATGGTGTGATGTGTGAGTGTGTGTGGTATGTGTGTTTGTGTGTGTGTAAGAATGTGTGTATGAATGTGTATAAGAGAGAGTGTGTGAGTGTGTTTGTTTTAATACGTTGCCTCACACTCTCTGTGAATAACACAGTGATACCTGACCTTCAGGAGGGCCACAGAGGTCTGGATTGAAAGCTAAGCGTGCAGACCTCCTACCTCAAAAATCTTCTCAACCCAGAGAATACAGTGCCATGATGGAGGATAGCAGCTAGATAGAACTGTTCCAGAAGAGCAAGTTTGTCTTGTCCTGACCAACACTGAGAAAGGCGGTAAAATCTTAAAGTTATCTTTTTCCATAGGAACCCATATTGTGACATGTTTGTCACACTACTGACTTTTCAAAGGGTGAAAATGGGAAGAGTGGGTGAAAACTGAATGAACAAAATGTGTACCATGGTAAGTCAGACCTAATTCTTTACGATGAAGAATTTTTTTGTTTGTTTGAGAATTTCATGCATGCATTTATGTTTGTATCCAATCCATTCCCTTCTCTTTTCCAATTCCTATCCCTTAATCACTTTCTACTTCATGTGCTCTACTTTAAGCGACTCATTGTACTCATATTTCTGGAATGTGCATTGGGACAAGGCACGTGGAGTGTGAATAGCCTCTGAGGGACCACAGTCCCAGAGAACACTGACTCTCCTTTCCTAGTATCAATGAGTAATTCCAGCAGCTCCTCAGTAAGGAGTGAAAGCTAATGTACCCCTCCTCTCATCCACGCTAGGATTTTAGCTGGCTTGACCGTGTGCAGGGCTTCTGCATACAGTCACGGCCGCTGTGAGTTCATGCATGCGCTGACCTTATCATATCAATAGTCATCCACTACCTCTGGCTCATGCAGTCTTTCCATCCCCTCTTCTGTGATGCTCCCCGAGCCTTGGGGGTGGCTGTGACAATAATGTTCCATTTAGAGCTGAGCACTCTATATTCTCCTACTCTGTGTACACTGACCAGTTGTGCCTCTGTTTTAATTGCTATCTACTACAAAAAGAAACTTCTCTAACGAGATGACAGACTACTCTGAGTATGAAAATGAGTACTTTCAGGGAAGTTCATTGCTATAGTGGCTTAGCAGAATAATAGTATTACATTCTCCCCTAAGGTCTATGACCTACATGGTTACAGGTTCTCTCCTAGGGTCTTAGTTACTCTTCTATTGCTATGATAAAACACCATGACCAAGGCAACATATAAAATATTCATTTGGCTTATGGTTTCAGAGCGCTAGAGTGCATGATGACAAAGGAACAACTGAGATCTTATATCTTGATTCACAACCACAAAGCATAGAGAGCTAAAGCAAATACAGCATGAGTCTTAAATTTCAAGGCTGCTCCAAGTGACATTCTATCTCCAGCAAGGCTCCACCTCCTAAACCTCCTCCAACAAGCACCACCTAGAGACCAAGTATTCAAACATATGAGCCTATAGGGTCCATTCTCATTCAAACCCACCCGATGACATAGCCAATCACGGGTTTCAGGCCCAGTTAATGGTACCAGGCATGAACTCCAAATTGTTTTAAATTTAAAGTTTGTAAAACTCCAACTTGGTTTTTTTTCCAATCCGAAAGTTGTTGGTCACTATCTAATATCTTTTCCACTAGCACACACATGGTCATATCTTGCTAGTCCAGTCACTGCTGTAGGCCCCAGGCTTGATATACATATTCATTACTTTTCTTCTTTGGCAACATACATAGGAAACTCCATCTCTACGAAATCTAGCCAGTAGGGATGAAGCTTCTAGCTGTGGACCAGCTTGATTTTCCCATGCTCTCAGAAATATGTGTAGTCTGCACCAATAGTCTTACCAACACATTCTGAAGGGAAACCAATAGCAATGCCAGTATCTTACAATGCTTGGTGGAAGTTCTAGGGAGCCCTACTGATAAACAAGCAGAAAAGAGATGACGGTGACTGGCAAGAGGCTTGGTATTTGATAGGCTGTGGTGTCCAGGAGAGGCAAAATCCCCATTAGAGGGTAAAGCCATTCACTCTCCATCTATTTTAGGGAGTTTCTTCAGTAGTAAGTTTCTATATGGCATTTTCAAATGTCTTCAGTGTTACTGATCCTTCCCATGTTCCCTCCTGCTAGTCTATCCTCTGATCTTCCACATCATTTAATACTTCCAAGTTCATTATTCTCTTGCCCCCTTTATACCTAACCTAGTACCTTCCCTTTAAAATGCCCCTTCAGCACCACTGGGGTTGCTTATTAGTTTCCTGAATTCTGTATGTCCAATCTGACACACTGATCTAAAGATTCACAGCTATCATCCACATATGAATGAGAATGAAGTGCTTGTCTCCCTGAATCTGGATTACTTAGGATACACATTTCTAGCTCATTTTTTTTATCTGAAATTTTCATAATTTCATTTTTCACACATGAATAATATTAAATGTGACATATTTCATTATTCATCGGTTGCTATACATCTAGGCAGGTTTTATTCCTTGGCTATTGTAAATAGAGGATCAATAAATATGGATAAGCAGGCATCTGTATAGAGTCCTTTGTGTATAAACCCAAAAGTGGTACAGCTGGATCATGTGGTAGATCTATTTTTCCATCTTTTTGAGAAACCTCCATGCTGATTCCCACAGCGATTAAACCAGTCAGTACTCACACTAACAGGAAGTAAGTGCTTCTGTTTCCTATATTCAGGGCAGCATTTGTTATCATTTTGTTTTTTGTTTTTGTTTTTTTAGTCTCTAGGTATTCTAACTTCAACACACTGAAGAAATATTTTTAAAGCTGGATGGAAGTTGGAGAGTAGTGTTATTTCTCATTGTTACCTACAAAATTAAGTGAGAGAAGGGTCTTTGACATGACCTGTCCAGGATCACACCTATAAATGGATACACACCTTTAAATTCTCCTTCATTAATCACAAAGACTTTGTAATCCTATGCCAGTTAGATCAAAGGTAATTATAGATCCTGCTACAGATAAACTGTGGTCCTGGACTTAGAAAACTGGAGCAATTTTGGGCGAAGGTCACGTGACAGGTGACAAGCTGCTGAGCACCATATCAAACAGAGTCTTGTGAAAGAGTTCTGAGAAACCCCATAAAGGGAGAGCCAATAAATCAGATCCCATCAATATTAAACTGTTCCCTATGAAAGATTCTGTGGCGAGAGTGAAGACAAGCTACAGATCCGGCAGACAGTGAAGAACGAGTAAGGAGCTCTCAACCTCAGCAGTAAAGAGGTGAACTAAAGCTTAACAATCCAGCTTGTAAAACAGGAAATAGCATGGACAGCCATTTTCATGAAGAGAGGATGCTGCAAGTATAGTACACTAACTGAGAAACTGTAATTAAAACCCCAAGGATATGACAGGGAATACAGAACCACATTTGGCAATCACTTTGCTGTCAGTCACTTAAAACTGTGGCAAATACAGGAGACCTTACTGCACTATCTTAGCAACTCTGAATTTGCAATTATTTAACATAAAAATTTTAAATGCATATATTTTTAAAGCATCTTTTATATTGGAATAACAAATAGTACTCACTTCCAATGTCCGGTCTCAGCTTTTTGTCATATTCTCTCAGCAGTTTATTGAGAATCAGTGTCACATCAGTATCTTGTGATTTGGGTGCCAAGACCCATTTCTGGTTTGATGGGGACTCTTCATTCTCATCCTCTTCCACCCTCCTGGACCTGCAGTTAAAACATAATGTGGCATATAAGTTGCAACAGCTCCAGAGAATTATTTAAATTTGCTTATTCTGTGTTCTAGTAAAATGAATAGGAAGTCTTCAGTATCCTTTGCCTAGTCATACATGCTACCTGTAAAACTAAAAGAAGAAAAGTGAAAATTAGGAAACATTCCATGGGAAGAATGCAATTGCTGTAAGCAAAACAGCACTGGCTAAGTTAAAGTAGAGACAGGGCAATGGGTAAAAAAAAATAGCCAAATTGACCAGCAGAAAATAAGTAACTTTTACCAACCTGTCAAAGTCAGACACCCTTCAGAGTACATTGTAGTGTTTGCTTCTAAGTCCCGGCAGCAAGACTGGGGGAAGAGGAAGTAGCTTTTACAGAATGAGCTCATTGAAAATAGCCCATTCTGATTGTGCCTTCCACATGGCCTGGACTTTGGGGGATAAATGTGTGGACATTATGAGGTGGCCTGCTTTGCTTGTACTCAGCATGAGGGACAGGCAGGAGATGTGCTAGTTGATGACAACAGAATGTCCTCGGGCAATTACACACCTTGATCACCAAAACTGGTTCATTTCTTTCTCAGCAGGCTTTAAGGATCAAATATTTTCTAGTACATCTTCAACACTCAGAGCTTTTAATTCCAGTGAGGGCCTAGACATCTTTGACCTCTGTCCTGCTCTGGTAAATAGCACAGGCCCCTCTGAAGAGTGGTCCATGCTTTCAGGACCTCTAATGAGGAGAAACCTCAAGACAACATCCAGTTATATCAGTGAGTGAGGCTTGAGAAGAAAAGAGTCTTCTTTCTACCTTGAAGCAATATTTCCATACAGGTAGGATGCTACTGAACCTTAGAAGAGCTTAAGAAACAGAACTCCTGTCTCATTTTGTCTCTGTGTGTGCCTTGATGTTACTTTTCTAAAAAGAGGGAGGGAGGAAATATACTGAGAGGGATTTGTCCTGACTGGACCAAAGCTCATTTCTGTTCTGATTTCTGGACAGGAGTCAAATGTCGGCTCCACACCAAGTTGCTTTGTCCTCAGGCATGTCAGTTTCTTGAAGTTATCAGGGAATCAGTGAAAAGTATAATCATTTTAAAATTCAGTCCTTCATCTTCACTCAAATCTTCAGAGCCATATGTAAATGTATATGTACACGTCCACTCTTACTGGCCATCAGTCTTTTGTAAGTGTCAACAAGCTATGACTAACAAGAGCAGTGGTTCAGCAGTCTAAACCCAAATTCACGCACTGGTTTCTCTTCTTTATTGAAGACTGGTCCCAGGACTCCCAGAACACACTAAACTCTGAAGATGGTGAAGTCTACACACAAATGATGCTCTATTTACACATAACATTCACAAATGCTTCTAATCATTCCCATGTGACTAGTTATGCAAATGGTTATTATAAAGTATCCATTAGGAATGAGGGCAAGAAAAAGCCTGTACATGTGTTCAGTACTATTTTTTTCAAACAACAGCCGCTTTTTTTCTTTTTTATTATTATTTATTACAATTTATTTAATTTGTATCCCAGCTGTGATGCCCTCCCTCATCTCCTCCCAATCCCACCCTTCCTCCCATTTCTCCCCCTATGCCTCTCCCTTAGTCCACTGATAGGGGAGGTCCTCCTCCCCTTCTATCTGACCGTAGCCTATCAGGTCTCCCAGAACTGGTTGCATTTCTTCCTCTGTGGCCTGGCAAGACCTCCCAGGGGGAGATGATCAGAGAGCCTGCCACTGAGTTCATGCCAGAGACAACCCCTGCTCCCCTTATTAGGGACCTCACTTGGAGATTGAGTCTATGGGCTACATCTGAGCAGGGGTTTTAGGTCCTCTCCAGGCATGGCCTTGGGCAGAATACATGGAATTTTATGAAAGAAGAGGGAGATAACCCAACCAAGACAGCTGCTTTGAACTGCAAATGTGGAAGGAGTGAACATGAAAGGACAGCTATCCAGTTATGTGAAAGATGTTGATAACGAGTCTTGTAGAATAGTTTTTGCAATTAACCTTTTCCTAAACTTACCTTAAGCTTAATTCTATTTCATGAATACCTACTATCTAAATAAGCCACCCACAGACTCCAAAACACTTTCGGATTTTACCTAAGCTGAATGTTCCCCACCAACAGGAATTTATGATATTTGGTACATCCTCTACCCAATAAGGGTAATGCGCTCCACTACCTGTAAAACCACATTTGCACAAAAGATGTTATAGAATGTAAATGTTCACATATTTCATATTTCATGTAATTAGAAGCTCTATCAGGAATGTTAATTGTATCACCTTCAAAAAGCAAAACATAACAAGAATGAGTAGCGTGAGTCACCTGGACGGCTGATAGCCACACAGTGCCTTTAGGACCTAACAAATTATCCAAGAACAAAGATACTTGGGGACTGTGGAAATGGGTAGGTAGATCCTTCCAGAGAAATCAGGCCTGCGCAGTCTGTCCCGTGCTGCATGCCTTTTCTGTCCTCCCTTTCTCTTCTTCCTCTGGTCCCTTCTCCTGCCCTCTACTCCATCACTGCAGAAGCAGTGGGTCTGCAGCCGCATGGTCTTCGCTGCCCCCAGTCACCTGGGCAGAGGCAGCATACCTGCTCCTCTGTTAACTCTACTCCTCACAGTCCCAGAAAAGCTAGCTGCTTCAAGGGCAGATATTTAAAGGAGTCTCATTCTCCCTCTAGTGGTGAGAGGCATTGCCTGAAATTGCATAAGCTTCCTGAGAGGCTGGAGCAGGTGGAGTGCTGAGGATAAGGGCAGGGAAAGCAGGCATGTTCTCTCCTTCTCCTCTGTGGAACCTCAGCTCTGTAGCTGGTACAGGGTACCTCAGTGGCCCTGGCTCCTCAGCTGCCAGGACTGTGCCTCTCTCAGTCCAGAATATAAACCCTTACCCTAAACTGTGCCCTGAGAAAAGCCGATTTCACCTCAGGGGACCCACAAGCAGGTGGATAAATTGGAATTTCCCTTCTCTTCAACATTCTATGTGGGTTATATATAACATCCTGAGCACTCCGTTGCTTGTACTGCTGGATCCCAAACAGCATTGCTGCAATTAGCTTTTCCTTCAAAGTAAAGCAAATACATGCTCAGTCCACAGACCTTAGCTTCATTCCTTATACCTTCTCTCCATCAGAATGGCAGATACTATCCAAAGGAGTTTTCAATATTAGAAAGTACTCCTGAACCCTGAAAATCAGTAAGCATCTTCAAAGAATCGAAAAGAGGCACAGCATTTCCCTGTACAATAAGCTCAGCCATGAGTGTCAGGGGTGGGGGAGGCACCCCGGTGACAGGCACCCTCATTGCAGAGCCACAGGGTATCCATCCTGTCAGAACCTATCTGGAAAGCATCCATGCCAGCAAGGCATCGTGAATGCTGAACAGAATATTCTCACAACTAACAATAGATTGAAAGGTGGATGGACAATTCAATTATCTTACCTTTGTAAAAAACATTAAAAAACCAAACACCTATTCAAAAGTGAGACATATAGCAATAAAATAAGTACAAAATGTGTTTTTTTTAAAACTGATATGCAATCATAATTACCAAGACTAGAAACTCAGATAGAGAACCTATTAACATTAGTACATGTACCTTGGGTGGAAAGAAAAGATCAGGAATCTCAAGAGCTTTTGTTTGCTTGGGAATCTGCAGAAACCAGACTGCTCCGTCTTCCCCAAGAGCACATAGAATGATGAGGGAAGCTGGCAACTTTCCTTCTAGAACTCTAACTATCTATAAATCAAAACAACTGATTGAACCCTGAACTGCAAGTCAGGTTTTTGAGTTGGTGGCTATAGCAAGGGACATGCTGATGTGACTGCAGCCTTATTGATTTTCTGGTGCTTGTTTCTGGTGGTGTCTGCTTCTAAACCAAGACCCCTCCAGGCACAATCCCCTTCAAAACACACTTTTCCATTGTACTTCCTAACTCCCTCCCTGAGCAAGAAGAAACTTTGGTGGCGATGTCTCAAGATCCTCTGCTTCCTGAGTGAGTGTTCAAGTCCCCAATGTCAATTCAGCAAGGACAAGCCCTGAGGAATAGAGGCAGGGCTTTCTTCCTTAGGGTAAGGACCTTGGTTAGCTGGAGTAAGAATTTTGGAAGCTCTCTCTTAGTTTTGGGGAGTTATTAGGGTGACTTCCTAGTTCTGATATTTCACAAATATGAATGAAATTGAAAGCCTGTGACAGCTATGGACTTGTGAACCCAGGGATAGCTGCTTTCTAATTTGTTTTCTGATCCAGGTAATTGAGAAATGTCAAAACAAGTGTGTTCTGGGAATGCGATGTCCTCCAATTCCTAGCATGAGAATAGGGTAAACAGTGAGGGATTTTCAAAGCTCAGGGTAGTCTGCAAGCTCTAACCAGAGCACCAGTCTGGGAGATGGAATTAAACCATGTCAGCATCTCTAGTTGTGTTTATGGCAACAGGCTTTAACCCTTCTAGTACCGCAGTCCTTCTCATGAGCCCTTGTACGTCTTTGGAGTGCTTCTGAGTTTCTGTTAGCTGACTGGTGTTGGTTTCGGGTATTCACAGTGAGGTAATTTCTTACAGCTTAAAGAAGAAGCTTCCATGTGAACCCCAACATGACTCTTTTATGTAGACAGGTGGTATAGGACCTAGAGGAGAAGCAGGGCTCTTCCTGACCACTGGCCCCAGCCCCCTCCACTTGCCTCCCGCCAATTACCTCTTCTGTAATCTATATAGGATGGTTGAGAAAACAGAATTCCTGGATCCGGAGGTTTCTTTTCAGTGATGGAATGCATAGAATGTTAATTCAAGTGTGTCAGAAAACCCTTGGATAACTGATGAGAAGAAAGATGAGGCCACTGTTTGTCTCATTACTTTGATTTCCCAATTCCCTTAAGACCACTAAATCCTAAAATTACCGAACAGTCCCCACACACACCCTGTTGGATAGGGCTGCTGTGGACCTGGAGAGGGGTCTGGTCCTAAGGGAGACCTACAGGTGAGGTGCAGGAACCGTCCCTCTCTTGCAGCCCAGTTGAGGGCGCGCACCAGGGACCGGCGGCCGGCGGCCGGCAGACGGCGCCCCCCGCCACCCTCTCGCCCCCGCTGGCCTCGGGAAACGCCTGGGAGCCACTTACCGAGCGTGCAAGCCCGAGAATAGGCAGAGGAGAAGCAGCAGCTTCGCAGCCATGGCGCTCCGAGCTCGGGTCCGAGGCCTCTGCTAAGCTGGACTTTCCGTGAACGCGGGCCTGATCTCCACCGGCTCCGGTGCCTAGGCTGCCACGGGCTGCAGCGCCTCGGGTTCGGCGGGCGGGGACGGACAGGTGTCTGCTCCCAGCGGCGCGCCTCCGACGGTCCGGCTCCGCCGGGCGCCAGAGAGATGCGAGGCGTCCACGCCGGGGAGCTCTCGGTGCGAGGGGATGGGGAAGTGGGGGGGCTGCAGGTGGCCCGACGCCCTCCTCCTGCAGCCCGAGGCCGGCCAGCCGCCCACTGCCCGGGACCCGCTCAGGGCTCTCTTGGGGCCGCTGCGCTCCAACGAGGGGCGGGAGGTCGAGGCTGCTTCGGAGGTGCCCACCAGCCGCGGTGGGGAGGAGTTTCCCCAATTAACACTTGGCAACGCCAAGCGAAGGCAGCGAGGTTTGAATGGACTTGGAGTTGGAGGTCGGGAAGGGGGCGGGGCTGGGGGTTGGGAAGGAGAGCTTGGGGATCCCGCAGGGAGGCGCAGAAAGGGCCTGGGGACTAGCCCGTGTCATAGATGGAGTCATGTGCACTGATAGTTTTACTGCAGCGAACCCACCCTGGATGTCCCCCGTGCCGTGTTCTTTTTCTTAGGGAAGCCATTGCAAGTAGATGGTTTGCCAAAAGGCGATCTTCTCCAGGGTGGTGTCCGCTTACCTGAACTCCCCCTGGTGCTTGTAACTGTGGCTTGCTGGGGAAGTCCCAGCAATGTGCCCTTTTCTCGGAAAAGAGAGACTAAAACATATCAGTAATTAGTAGAAGTGAAATGGTTAAGTCCAAGGAGAAGGCTCCAGAGCCAGAAAGCAAGGGACCCTCTGTTGGGTAGAACTGATGTTATTTTCATGTTCCAAATTGAAATTTGCCTGTTTTTATTTGTATGATCATTTAGAAAGCTCATCTTCAACACAAATGAGAATTTTACTTTCTTAATTTAAAAAAAAAAATACTGTTTCAACTACTGTTCACAGAAACATGACAGTTTTGTTATGACTGGCTGCTGTAAGGTACTGTCCTTGCAGCCAGCCTGCCAACATCATTCTAAGTAGCTACGCCTGCTTTCAGGAATCCATCAAGACTGGGCCTGTCTGCGCATCTCTGGCTTTCCTTCAGAGAAGAGTTTCTCATTGGGCCCTCACCTGAGTCCTAGCCACTTCTCCCAGCCATTTGTATGACAATTCTCCATAGTCTGTCCACAGTCTGGGTCTTGGGAAAGGAAGTGCTAGAACATATAGAAAACTAGGGGAAGCAAGTGAGGAAGTCATTAACCATGTTAAATGAAGATTTTGCTCTTCTGTTGCTTCACGTTGACCCAAGATCCTAAGGAACCTCCTCCCCATCTTCTGCAGGGACAGCCAATGAACTGCACTGTGTAGAGGTGAGCTTTGCTTTACTGTTAGGACCTAGTAGGAGTGTCAAGATTTTTCCTATCTCCAAGAAAATAAATTTTAGAAACTTTGATAGTTGTGGGGTTTTTTTGTTTTGTTTTGTTTATAAAATACAGAGAGAAGCAGGTTGAAGTTCTTGAGAATTCTCTCCCCTGTCTCTGGACTGCAGACTGTTCTTGGTAACAGTATTGCTCTTAACTGAGGACTGTGTAGCCTTGGTTAATAAAAGGCCATTGCCTTCTTCCTACCTCACCCAGCTCACCCCAACCAGGACCTTTTCTATCATCCTTCTTTGCTTGCAGTTATGTAAGTAAAAATGCTTGTGTTCTGTGGAGATTCCTAATAGCCAACACCTCCCTCCTTCTTCAAGATTCTACCAAATTCTTTTATCCATCTCTAATATCTGTACTTTACAAGGGAACACTTCAAAAACCAGTCAAAAGATGTTGCAGAATTATGTTGAGTCTCTATACAAATGCAGTCATGTCTCAAATTTCCACTCTGAAGTCTGGTTCCAGGATCCCTGGGAATGTTAACTCTTTCATAGAAAATGGATTAAGATTTTCATAAACCTCCTGTATGGTTTAAGCCATCTCTAGATTACTTGTAATGCCTACTATGTATAAATGCCTTGTAAACAGTTGTTATAATTGTTTATGGAATAAAAGAAATGCCTCTTGTACAGACACATATTTTTTTAAGACAATATTTTTCATTCAAGTTGGTTTTTATTCAAGGAGGGCTACCTGCATGTCGTCACAACATAGGTTCTAAAAATATTCTGCATGAAAACTGAAAGCAAACGTAGCAGTCCTTTTATGCTTCCATTTTTGACATAGTCACAGGAACATAGGTGAAAATAATGTCAGGCATGGTTACATGGGAGACAGGAGACAGTGTGACTGAGTCATTCAAATTCCCACAGCACAGTTTCACTGCACAACTAGAGAAAAACCCCAAAAGGTTAAATACTGTCCTCAAGGCTCGGTTCCTGGCAGTCACCCTTAGTCACTGTGTCTCTTTGAACATGAAGGTGGGCAGACATCATTGCAAAGCTGTATTCTCACCGCTTATTTTTATTTTATATTTTTGGATATAAGTTGTTTACGATCTATTTTACAGTACAGACAGACTGGCATTTGGATGGCTTTGTAAAATGTCAGCATGATGAGAAGTGTCCTGGGATTACATGTCTGTATTTATCGCAACCTGTCAGTGGAAGGCATGTGTACCTTTGCACAGCCCCATGCTGGTGGAGCTTATTCTTTTCTTTCCTACATAGTTTTGAAGTCTTATTATTATGAATGAGTGTGACCTGACCTCTTTTAAAGTTTGGAATGGTTTTCTCCACTTATTAGACACAATGGACCTGCTTGACGGAGTTGAATATTTTACTTTAGACAGCCTCGTAGTACAGCCTTGGGAAAATAGTTTATGCTAAATGAGTCAGGAGGGATGAGATATTCAAAGCAAGCTTTCTGAACATAAGTATGAAAGCAAAATGCAAGGTCAAGAATCTTCAAAGCCCCAGCTGTTACCCTTTGATTTTCCTCCTTTGCCTAAGTTGAGCAAGCTGGGGCACTTTGCCGAGCATGCATACTGCACTGTGTACCCTCTGTGCTGGCCAGCCTTTCCATCTTCAGCGCATGAGAGGCTTAACAGCTCCATTTGGGTGGGCAAAATTCTCTTTCCCTTCCTCAGCAAGAAAATAAACAGTAAAAGGAAAAGAAAATTCTGAAAAAAGGCCGTGCTTCATCCCAAGGCATAGGGATTGAGAGACCAGCTGCATAAGCAAATTGACCGTGCACATGTTCAGGCTTTTACATTGTTTGGGGGAAGACCTGGCTGTTTCTGGTGCGGCTTGCAGGGCTAGTGACAACCCCTCTAGGCAGGAGGTGGGAACGTCGGAGAGGCGGAGAGCTGGCTGCCTTAACTTGGAGTTCCTCTCGTGGCTTCTCGGAGAAATACCTCTCAGGGTTCCCCGCAGCCCCACTTCACCTCCTACCAGTGCCAGGAGGCAAAGCCAGCCTGATATTCTGGGTATCTAGACCACACCACCAGCTCATCTCTGTGGCTTTGTGGCTTTCACAGGTTTAGTTTTAAACAAAATCTCTCTTGTTCCACAAATTGTACTTTTAAATTGCATTGTGATGCTTCACACTTTATGAACAAATGTTCAACTCAGTCAAAAAATTATTCATGAGGATAAGATTCACATGAGATAATGCACTAATCCTTACAGCATACTTTGGTGGCCTTTGTAACACACATTTACACCGTAAGTATAAAAGTGCCACCTGCCCAGTGCCTGAGATTCAGTTCATCACAAGGGACTGTCTGGCCTGCTTTTTCACCTGACATTCAACAACCAGGAAACATGTTCTAAATGACCTCTCATTTAGTACATGGTGAGTATGCCCATGTTGCTGCAGGTTCAACAGTCAGTCATGATCTTTATCCCTAAAAACAGTATTATTTGGCTATGAGAGTACTCTATCCTTTACTTACAAGGATGAAGGACACTCTTGTGCCTGTCCTCTGATGCTCATTTCTCTTGGTTATTTGACTCAGATAGATAGACTCTCCTGGCCAAAAAAAAGAAGGCATTTGTTTATTGGTAATAATTTTAAAATTTCACAAGAAATGCATAAAGCATTTCGTTTGACCACCACTCATGTCAGCTTTTAAGAAATGTGACCTTGCTATTCTTATTTTTATAATTTTAACTTTTATTGAAGATGACTGGCCTAACCTGACACTCACCCTAAGGGAGACAGCCAACCCCTGACACTATTAATGATACACTGCTATGCCTGCAGATGGGAGTCTAGCACAGCTGTCCTCTGAGTGGCTCCGCCCAGCAGCTGATGGAAACAGATGCACAGACTAACAAACAAACACTGGGTGGAGTGATCTTGTGGAAGAGTTGGGGTAAAGATAGAAGGACCCAGAGGGGGCTCCACAAAAAAGACCAACAAAAACAACTAACCAGGACCAAGGGGGCCTGTGGAGATTGAAGGGCCAACCAAGGACCATGCATGGACTGGACCTACGACCCCTACACAGCTGTATGCATGGGCAGCTCAGTCCTCATTTAGAATTCCTAGTAAGGGGACCAGAAGCTGTCTCTGACATGGACTCTGTTGCCTGCTTTTTGATCACTTTCCCCTGGTAGAGCTACCTTGCCAGGCCTCAGGGGAAAAGGATATGTTCAGTCCTGATTCGACTTGATATGCTGGGCTGGGTGACAGACAGGGCCTCACCTTCTCTGAGGAGTAGGGAAGGCAGATAGGGAAAACAGGGAAGGAAGGTGAACTGGGAGGAAAAGAGGGAGGGTGCCATGACTGGGATGCCAAGTGAATAAATAAAAATTAAAATACAAAATAAAAACAACAGCAAAGAAAATAGATTTTATACTATATATTCTGATCATAGTTCTCCTCTTCTAACTCATCCCCCAGATACTTCCTGCTCTCCCAAAGACCCAAATCCACAGCCTTTATTCTTTCTCTCATTGGAATACAAACAGGCATCTAAAAAACAACGAAATAAATAAAAAACAAACTAAAATGGGGTCAAACAACAACAACAAAAAAAAAAAAAAACAGGAAAAAATAGCCAAGAAAAAGCACAAGGAACACATGGAGACACAGAGGCACACAATTTCTTCAAACACACAAAAAAACTATAAAAATACAAAATCAGATGAATGGATTAAAGAAAAAAAT